AATTCATATATGAAATGTGCAATATTATCACTTTGGGCTTTGGTACCTTTTGTCATTTACACAAGCGAAATTCGCACTGATGATTGGAGGGCTTCGTGGAAAGCCAGATGAATGCACTGTATCTTTTCCTGCCTAAAATAAATTGCATTTTAACTCGGATTATTGCAAACTGAGGAAAGAAGAAAAATGATCCCCATACATGTGTTAAACATGTGTCAACATGTGACATGTGTCAACATTACTAAACAACACGGTCATAAACCAACATGGATATATTTTTGAACAACACAATAGACCTGGAGTGTAGAGATTGAATTGTTGATCGATGCAGTGAATAATTTTATACACTATTATTCAACGTTCAAACTTAACCTGAAATTACTCAAAATAGCTTTCTCATGGAAAAAACCATGTAAAAAAGATTCAACATAATATGAACAAGAACAACTTCTTGAAAAAGTGTGGTTGGAAATATTATTAAGAACAACACATTGTTTGAAAAGAGAGTGTAAAAATTAAGCAAAATGGCATTATTTGGTTCTTTCTGATGAAAACTAAAACTAAAGGCTAATGAGTTGCTAACAATGACAAGATCATGAACATATAAACACTCTCTTGTACATCTAAGTAATGAGAGTTAAATGATACCTGAATAAATAGTGCGTGGACGATAAATTTAACGTCCTCTTTTGATGAGGGATCATCCCAAGCAAATGGTAGATCACATGATTTTGACCTCTCCAAGGCTTTCTTGGAGGTGTAGTCTATATGTAAAAAAATGAAAGTAATTAATTTGAAACTCTTCAATGATTCCCTTGAAATGTAATGTAATGAATAAAACAGAAAGGCAAATTTATATTGATTTAAAAGAAAATAATGCAAGTTGCAAGTTACCTTTAATATTGTCTTAAAATGTTTCATTTCTTAGTTTTTTTTTCCAATTTTATAGTTACTGTAGCCGCTTTTATTCATATTCATAACAAAAATGAGGGATAGGAAACGAAAAAGGTGTAACAATCAATCATTAAAATTTTAAACTTTAAATCTAATGTAAATGGAACTCAAAGTATTCATTCTCAAGTATGGCAGCATTAACATACCCTTGTTGGAAATAAGTTCTTAATATTTGTTTGGAAAAACTTTTCAAAACTTGTACTCTACCTTTCGTTTCTGAATTTCCTGTTAATGAAATACAGGCCTTTAAAACTGTTGTCTTTGATGTTTCGGTGTCCCTAGTAAGTAAGACTACTGGACATGAACCACCTGCCTGGCTAATCCGCTGCTAGCCAAGACTCATAACAGTTCCCCCTGGGGTGAGACAAGCAGCTGGATAGTTGCTTGTCAGGAGGTTCTTGAATGCTTGTAACAGGTCTCCAATTCTATTTGCAGAAAAGGGCTGTTTTATCCTAATGCCACTGCCCAGGCAAGCATCATTTGCTCCTACAACAAAATATACTTTTACAAAAGAAACAAACGCCACCAATAACAAATTATTAACTGGCATTGTTATTAACTGAAAAATGGCATTGAAGTAAAAGGGAAACCCTTACAAAACTAATAAAATAAAAAAAATTATTATTATTCATGAATATGTCAATCAATATACAATGATTGTTTATAAAAGAAGAAAATGATAGGAATATATAAATAGAATATAGTATCTGCGTGCAAAGAAAGTAGTGTCCGATAGTCCGGGGCTAGTGGATTTTGCTATCTGGCTAGTGAGTTTTGTTCTTAACTTGCCCGATGGGCAAGGAAAGTTTTTTGAGGAAATCAAATTACAGAAGAACTGTGAAATCCATTCTGCTCATCAAATGTTTTGGGGCTAGTTGAAATGACGTTTGGGTTAGTATATGCTAGCTTCGGCTTGCCCAAATGGCAAGATTTAAAAATGACTTTCTTTGCACCCTGATAGTATAGATCCATTTTGCACTGATAATCTACGTTGACAACTTTTTTTTAATTTAATTTTTTTGAGATTAAATTCTTTGGAAAAGACAAGGTTACTTAGAAAGAAGGCAGGTCTACACGACATGAACCAAAAATTAATACTACAATTTAGTCCTGACCACAACAACATCGAGACAACAAAAATTGTCAAGTGCATAACTTGAATTCAGAGTTTAATATAAAAATGATCACTTGCATTTCCCACAAGTCTGTCTCATTCAATGACATTTTATTCTGGAATAATGACACAGACAATTGTTAAAATTACACGCAGAACCCATTTTATTACTTGACTAATTAAGCAAAAATTGTGATGCATAAGCAACTATTTGCCTGAAATACCTACCTCGGCCTCTACCTTTTTTCCAAGAATTTTGATATAAGACATATCGCTCCTGATCTTGAAGAAGAGACTTTGTCTTGGGATTGATCTGTATGGTGTCATTTATGACAAATGACCCACACTTTTGCCAAGCTGGATACTAAAGTAACAAACAGTACAACACTTTTGAAGAGATTTATTAACACTAAGAGAGGTTTATTCAATCATGCTTATATTAAGGGCACCGCGTGTAGTAATATTAAATTTTTTTTTTTTGGTAGACCATTTGGTCCATTTTTTTAATTAAAACCCCTCTGATAAATTATCAAGGTTAAATTTATAACTTAATTTTAACCAATTATAGGGGAGGTTTTTGTAACATCCGGAATAACCAAGGTGTCAGGCAAGCCAAAGGCCGAGGCAGGTAACACTTACCGAGACCTTGATTATTTAGGATATCACACAAACAGAATCTAATAATTTTATTATACATTGTTTTGGACAAAATAACAACAAACAGACCATTGCAAGGAACCCAGAATTGATAATGTTATTGTGAATCACACATTGTGCCCGCATCTCTGTAGGTTGCACTGCTTTCCAAAATAAGCTGTAGGTTCTTAGCCAATGAGAAGGAGAGGTGACCTATGGTTGGCCATCCGGTTCAAAATTATGACATCGTGTACGTGGGCTTTTTTGCCGCGTATAATCGTTTATAATCGCCATGTATGGGCTTTTATCCCATATACAACCATTTATATCGCGTATATACGCGTATTTAATACGCGTATATGTGCAAAATCAAATGCACGTCTATACGCTTGCTAAAAACCCGTATATATGCGTACCTGTCAAAGCCCACGTATACGCGTGCAAAAATGTGCATATACGCGGGGTTCAGAAATCAGACTTGGTATAAGATGGCATGAAAAGTGCCTCTAACGGAATAGGTGTCATGTATCGTGGCAATGAAAAGTGCCTTTCGCAATGCAAACATGGCTTCCTCTCTAGCTCTTGTAGTGATATGTATCTTGTCAACTAGTTCTTACAGTTCTCCCACAACGGATCTTCTGGAGACGGTTTCTCGTGAATTAAGGGATTGCTCCAGGTTTTATCCACACGCCGATCGAAACATGGTTGAAAACTTGGTAGTCCGTTTTCAGGTAGCTGTCGATTCAGTTCGTCGTTTGGTAGAGTCGTTGGACCCAGACGATCAAGGAAATGATGTCAGAATACCAGAGCTTGAATCACTGTTGAGGAAACTTCAATACTTATTAAACAGATGGGAGATGATGGTAATAAGAGCAGCTTCTTGCACGACTGTTCGCCCCATAAGGACTTTGCCAGGTTTGTCAGGTCCTATAAATCAAAGAGCGGGTCGTCCGGCCTACGAAATTTCTACACATCAGTTGGAGTTTCTAAGAAACACAATGAGATTTAATTGGTCCCAGATATCAAGAATGTTATTAGTTTCTAGAACTACTCTTTGGCGCAGAATTAGAAACCTGGAGTCATTTTCCAGTCGACATCATTATACAGCCATCACGGATTCAGATTTAGATGAATTAATTCGAGGTTTAAGACAAGGATTTCCAAATTCTGGTATCAGTATGATGCTGGGACATTTGCGAAGTAGAAATTTTTTTGTGCAGCGTCAGCGTGTTAGGGAAAGTTTGGTTCGAACTGACCCTTTTTTGTAGTTCAATAAAGACACCTAGGTTCAAGAACGACAACAAAGTTCAATAACAACTACATGAGTTCAGAAAATGACATAAGCATTCCTAAAACCCAGTGAAAATTCAGTTTTAAACACTGCGCAGTTAAACAAAGACACAAAAGTTCAAGAACGACAATATAGTACAATAACTACTACATGAGTTCAGAAACTGATACAAGCATCAATGTTTGTTTATTTAGTTAATGCTAAGGAGGGGGTCCATCGGGACTGGGAATGTGGGGCGCCGGCCCCTTTTATAGCGTATTTTTTATTTTTTTACATATTCGGACTGTACGTTATTGACAGATATGTCAAGTGACATTGTTCATCCTTTGAAATCTTTTGGGCTTGCTTAGCATTGTCTCATCCTCCAGTTTGCTTAGTTTCATTCTCCACCCAACATAGCTTTGTGGCAAAATCCCAGAAGGCGTGTCTTGGCAAAGCCGCAGTTATCCCACGAACACAGGCAGCCCAATAATTTAGCCTCCTTGTTTTACTGTCTATACTGATAAATTATATTCCTCAAAGCTCAGTCATTGCTATGGTTTATTGTAGATGGCTTCTTGCGGATAGATTAACAAATTCTCATTTAGTTATTGGTTATTATATTTACTCAATTCTCTAATTAACAATAATAATAAGACTATGAGCCCGTGTTTCTATGAGTGAATAATCAACAAGGTGTGGCCGAGTTGACTTCATAGAAAACGAGGGCTTGTCTAATTGTTTTAGTAGAAACTCTAAAGGATTGCAGTCCAAAACCTACAATATTGTGCACCTTTAAGACAAAAATCAAAAAAGTTACTGCTTAAAGAGATACACGTACGCCACTGTGTTTTGTGAAAACAGTGAGAGAACTTATCAGATTTGCAGATTTCCAATAGAACACAGCTGAGTTTCTACTAAGTACTTTTAGTGGGAGGGAGGAGCACCCACCAGACCCAAGAGAATGGCAGAGATCAAGCTTATTATGGGACTTACATTTGTGGTAGTTGTGCAGGTAGTGGGCATAACAATTTCAACATAAATGCACCCTTGTATGTAATTACCCGTAATTCCTAATCCATCATACAGAGCGGACTGTCTTGTTGTAACTTTGCCATTTTTCCTGTGCTCAAAACATAACTGTTCCTTCTTTAGCGGAGTGGCATTTGGCTTGCGTATTGGTGGCGATAAATTATAAGCCTCACAGATTGCAGTCAGAATTTCTGACTGTGAGCTTTGGTGGGAATATTCGATGTTTCCTTCCCATATTTCCCGAAATGATTTATAGCACCAAGGCTCATTATTCCTTTCCAGAACTGGGGTGTATGAGAGTGCTTGCACAACTCGACGTTTTTTCTGTGCTGAAATGTGCCTATTGTATGGTCCAAATTGTGGCCGTTGAGATGCTCTTTGTCTTCTTGATACTGATCTGTTCTGGGCATAACTGTTCATGACATTTGTTACGTTGGCCAGAGCACTATCAATAGTTGAACCATAGCTGACAACTGGCATTGACTCTTGTTGGCCAAATATGTTCCGTAAAGCGTCAGACACTATTGAACAGAAAAGAAACGCATTTCAGTGACTTCTTCTGGTAGCGGAGCTCCGCGCGCGAAGCGCGCCTGCGGAGCACCATGGGTAAATAAATCTACCCATCCCAGAAAATTTGGTAATCACGTGACCGACCGTCCGTCCGCACCACAGGCATACCAATGTTTACTCTCACACTTTCTAGCTACTCTGGGAGCCCAGGAGAAAGCTGATTGCACATCAATGTTGTCATCAATTGACAGCTGTCAAAACAGGGTATCCGCTGACCAGTATCATCTGGCCGTATTGCGGGCTCAGGTGTCGACCCATCGAGGTCGAGTATTTTTTGAAGTTAACCGCTGAAAATTTACTCGTTTTCAAATGATCATATCAATATCAAATATGTGTTTATGTCAGTATCACACCGCACTATTACGATTTTGATTTCAAACTGACCTCAGACGCAAAAATTCAGCCAGTGTTTTTAAAAGACAGGCGGGGAAGACCTTTTCTTACCATGGTTACGTGTTGGTCACGCTCCACGTCCAATTTTTATGCTCCGATTGGTTAAAATTTGACAGGTGAGTTCATGCGTAAAATTTATGCAGGATCTTGAAAGTTGTTTACTTTGAACGCTGAAGCTGACAGAGTTTTGAGTCAACTTGTGATGTTTTTAATTGTCTTTTTCCACTGGATGTACAAAATGAAATATAGCTGCTATCAAGAGTGTTCTCTTATTCATGGCTGGTTTGTTTATTGGGTTTTTGGTTGAGAAGTGCGTCGCTTGTCAAAGCCGATAATCCGATTTCGGATGGCATCGTTTTTGTTTTTCACCTTGCTGGATGCGTACGAGAATTATAAAGGCTCAAGCGATCCTTGCCTTACTTGCTGGCTTTCAGGAGCTGCATCTCGAAATATGGTAAGCTTAAGTAATTATTGTATTTAAATATAATTTCATGAAGTCCAGCGGCACAGTTTATGAAGCTAGTTTATGCACGTTTGTATTAAGATTTGACTGAGACACCGATCTTAAAAAGCCTTTAGTGGATATTAATTCACCGTAAATAGAAAGAAAAAACTTTCCCAAGAATATTTACTTATAATTTTGGCTGTAGAAAGAAAGCTTTGAGCGATTTTCTTGTCGTGAGTCATCTTTGAAAACAGCAAACACCGGGAAACCGGCGGCTTAAAACATTATGGGTTTCTGAATAAACTTAATCTTTAAGCTTACTAGTAAAGATTCTTAGAGACACTTAAATACTCATTTGTTTTCGTGAATGAAAATTGTTGTCTCTGTAAATGTTCTACCGAATTATATTTCTTTATTGATTGTTGATAGTCTCAAAAGTGTGATTTTCATCGCTTTGCCGTTTGTTTTCAGCCGTTCATAAACATCGCTTTCAGGAGTACTCAAAATGCCAAGCGTCTCAAACGCTTTTTAAGATTACACATCGTTATAAAACCATTAATAAAAAAATTGACTCAATAAATTCTTTGTCACGTTGAAGGGTAACTCTTTTAAAATTTCTTCGCAAATTTGGCGCTTGTCAAAAGTTAGAACCGGATGGCCGTATAGGTGATTTTGGAAATTTTTTGAACGGTTTCGGTAATTAAAAGTCCACGCGTGCTTCGATGGTCCTGAATATTGAATGAATGCAGTTTGTCTTGAAAGTTTGTGAAATACTGCATTTTGTACGAGGTCTGTATGATAAAAACAGCGCCTCATAGTACTCTTTCTCCTCAGATGTGGTCTATAAAAAATAATAAAAGATTAGTTTGCACGCACTCAGATTTATTGGTAAGAATTCGGTCTGATTTGTTTTCCAAGACTTTGTTTTCCACGCCTTATCTACTGTGATCAAGAGCCATTATTGCTCTTAAATGTGACCGAAGACTATTTTTGGGGTGTACATATACAGCTATATCAACTCGATACAAGATTTGTTTCACTCCAAAATCACTTAGCTTTTCCCTCAAAAGTCACATGAATGTGCCTTTAAGTTAACTGATTTGTGGAATACAAAATTATTGTTTGATTAAGTTATAAAAATATCAATGGGAGCTTCGCTTTTAGCTGTGGCTAAATCTATATATTATAACAAGCAAAGCAGATAAACATGACATCCACACTTCATGTGGGTTTAAACAAATATTTAAGAACTATAATAATTGGAGCAAATTTTTATCAATTTTTAAGCTAGGGTTATGGATTTTTGATTTTCTTTTTATTCAATTTTTTTAGCAGGGCATCTGGTTTTTATTTTAAAACAGAAAAAATTATTTAAGAACTATAAAATATATTTAACAAGCAAAGCAGATTTTATGACATCCACACTTCATGTGGGTTTAAACAAATATTTAAGAACTATAATAATTGGAGCAAATTTTTATCAATTTTTAAGCTAGGGTTATGGATTTTTGATTTTCTTTTTATTCAATTTTTTTAGCAGGGCATCTGTCAATAACAGTTTTTATTTTAAAAGCAGAAAAGAGCTATCCTTATAAAATAAAGGTTTACTTACTTACTCACTTACTTACTAGATTTAAATTCAAATTTGAATGATGGTGTCTTTGAAAAAAAAATTAATCCCTTGAGATAATCAGGGCTGAGTTTTCAAACATTCATAAATAATGTCTTATGGCCCTTATAAAATAATGTTATATTATAACATTTTATAAGGGTTTGGGATGGGACAGACACAAAACCAGTTAAGAATAACTGATACCCCTGCAAAAAGGAGTTTCCACCTAATGGAGACCCCACCTTTCACTTTTTCACTAATATTCTAATCATCATGGCTCTTGTATGTCATACTCTCATAAGTTACTACAAATTTATCTTTTAAGAATATTATTTGCCATTAGATTCTCATACAAATATAGTAAATTAGGGGCGGAATGCATGGTCAAGCTAGCCAGTATGCCACACATAGAACCATTTTTTTGGTGGATTGGGGACACTAAACTAAGAAAACTTTAATAATTGCACTCAACATTGCTTGGACAAAATCCGTGAATAAATAAATTTCTGTTATTCAAAGCTCTAAAAGAGAATTTAAAAAAAATCGTTTTATATATTTATTTCTTTTTATTTTGTAACAAGAAATTTGTTTTGTAGAAGTTAAGCTCATGTCACCTTGCCAATTTGTACATACATGGCAGGTGGGATAAAAGCTCTTATCCAGTTGAAACGTGACAACATGATGTTGAGTACCTGTACCTACCCGACAGTTCCTCTTGAGCAGAACGTTGTGCAGGGGCCCACGGAAGGTTCTCCTGCTCCATAATATAAAACATCTCCATCTCTGAAATTCAAAACATTTAAGCTTAAGTTAGCCATAGTGGTTTAGCATCCTGTGTTCAGTTCCCACGCCAAAGCAGCAAATGCTTCGGAAACAGGAAAAAATAACAGATTCCCATTTTTGGATATTTTAGGGTATTTAAAGAATACCCACAAAAATCCCAAATTTGGAAGAGTGAGACATGTCCCAACCAGTGAACTTGGTTGGGAATTCCCAGGTTGGGACTTGTCTCACTTTGCCAAATTTGTGATTTTGGGGGGTATTCTTTTAGCACCCTAAAATATCCAAAAATGGGAATCTGTTATTTTTTCCTGTGAAATGACGTCGATTAAGAATCCCAATTCTCATTCTTACCTTAACAAAGTTACATCTTTGAGTTCCCTCAAGTCCTCTTTAAATAGTTTAACCTCTTCTGGAATCTCGAGCTCTCTTCGGAGATCTTCCAAAGATTGAGGAATTGCATAGTACTGGCGCAATAATATGTCAATGGCGAGTCGGAGGTTTAAACTCTTTTAAAAGGCAAACCATAGAAAGTGGTTTCAGCTTACCTTTCCGCCGTATTTCTGACCAATTGGCCGTACAAGTACACGAGATACTGCGAATGAAGTTTCACGAGGAGAAGATGAGCGGCAAGTCGCCATGTTCCTCATCATTTTGCGCGGGAAAAATGGTTCGGGACATTTCATTGCCACGATACATGAAACCTATTCCGTTAGAGGCACTTTTCGTGCCATCTTATACCAAGTCTGATTTCCGAACCCCTCGTATATGCACATTTTTGCACGCGTATACGTGGGCTTTGACAGGTACGCATATATACGGGTTTTTAGCAACGCGTATAGACGTGCATTTGATTTTGCACATATACGCGTATTAAATACGCGTATATACGCGATATAAATGGTTGTATATGGGATAAAAGCCCATACATAGCGATTATAAACGATTATACGCGGCAAAAAAGCCCACGTACACGATGTCATAATTTTGAAACGGATGGCCAACCATAGTGACCAGCCCTTTTAACTTGATGCTGGTAAGATACTTCTGCAAACTTCTGTAAATGACATGAGTATGTCCATAATAAATTTTGTTGCTAAGGATAATTAAGAGCAAATCCATGCAAAAATCGACCAAAATCGCCGATTCGTGGCAAGGCTTAAAAACTCAAAATCGCTCTTTTTTTGCAGACTG